AGCCATGCATAAGAATGCATGTATGTATTTATCTCGAAACAAGTTTTTGAAGAAAAACTAGGCAACTTGAGCTGCAGATGGTGTGGGTTGATCTTTGAAAAACATGAGGAAATAAATATATATTTATGTTTATGTATGTATATCAGTCAATATCTGAACTTCTCAAACCATTCTACTTTTTTTTTACAACTACTACTTCTCTCATGATGCAAATATACCCCACAATTATCTCAGAGAAACTCAGTAGATTATCTCTTGTGTTTTTTAATAGATGAAAGAAAAAAAAATAAGCAGATAGAAAAAAATAAATTAAAGAAAACAAGGCATGATTGAAAATTGAGTTTTTTCCACTCAAGTTCTTTCTTTTTTCATCCCCCCCCCTCCCCAGCCCAAATACCAACAAAGCATGTGATCTCGGGGCCTCTCTTTGCCAGAAGACTAGACATGAGTGAATTTGCCCTCTGCCAATCTTGCTTTGGTCATCGCTGCAATTATTGCACTTCCTACTCCGCGGCCATCTTCGGCATGATAGGTTTTCTGAAACGAAAAGTAGGATCAAGTCAAACCGGATCTCATAAACACACATATAGTCAAGCCACTTACAATTAAGCGGCCCTTTTCACCAAAAATATCCACGAGAGCTTCATGTAACCTTTGGGGAAATTGTGGGTATTTCTGTGGAAAGAAATCCGGGACATTCGAGTAAGTGATGTACCGCTACTATTCTTGTGTCAGTAGATTATGAAGACAACTCACATTGTAAAGACTTCCATCGGTAGCCACTCCACATCCGGTTTCGACCATTCCCATCTTGGACACTATAGCCGCTATTCCACAGGCCGAAAGTCTAGCGGACCTGGTACCTATCAATTCCGCAAGTCTTCGGAAAAACTGGCGTTCGGAAATCGTGGTATCCAAGCCAAAGAAGTGTGTAAATAACCCTGTGACTGTCAATAATTCCTCTGTGGGGTCACTTGAGTCAAAATGTCGTTTGTCAGTCAAGACTCGGATTCAGTTCAAGCAAGCACAGGGATTGTTTTGCTACTTACCTTTCGATCAGACTGAGGAAGGCAGTATCGAAACAATAGCTCTTTTCCATCTTATATGTATTCTGACCCAAAAACAAGATCCCTTCTTCGATCATCTCCCCTACGGTCAGTCGGAAAGCTTCACCAAGATAGAGGCCGGCGATCATCTTCTCAAAAGCTTGTTCTCCAGGCTTATTAGAGGTTTCATCGATGACCAAATCATACTTGGTTCGAGGCAAGTGTTCAGGGGTACCAAAATCGAAAGCCCCCCATTCACAAGTGATAGCCATCTCGGCATCTGGAGGAAGGCCGAGTGAGGCAATTTTGGGGATATTTGCGACTTTCTTCGTGGAAGCAGCTATTGCACCCAGTAAAGAAGGGAACTCCGAAAATGGTTTTCGTAACGACAAGAAGGACACAACAAGCGTAGCAAGGGAAACGACCATCAGTGAAGTGAGCTGGACCCGAATCCCTGACGAAAGGAAGTCAATTATATTGAGCTCAGGACCAGCAACTGTGAAAGTAGAAAACCGAGACCAAAACATTTGTTAGGGGAAGCAAACAACTCGGAGACCTCGGGCTTTCTATCAAGGGAAAACCCCGACCGT